AGGAAAAGCCATCTACAGCCATCTACAAACCAAGGAGAGAGGCCTTTGGAGAAACCAACCCTACAAGACCTCGGTCTTGGACTTCTAGCTCCAAAATTGTGAGCCAATAAATTTCTGTTGTTTAAATCACCCAGTCTGTAGTACTTCGTTGTGGCGGCCCTGGCAAATAATGCATCTTAACACTCAACAGGAGACAACGCTTCAAAATAATGGAGAAAAGACTTGATCAGACAGTTCACAAAAGACTATATCCAACTAGCAAACAAACATGAACAACGGAGCTCAATTTCATTAGGAAAGAAAGGCAAACTAAAACCACCATGTAATAAACCAACACAGCAACGGGACTAAAATGGAAAGGGTGGAAACACAAACTCTTGGTGAGGATGTGGCACAATCAGAACCAGACCAACCCCTGTGGGCAATGACCTGACGGTGTCTACTAAAACCGAACATATACGCATCATCCCCTGCGACCCAAGCAATTCCACTCTCCGGTATGTGCCCCACAGAAATGCATCCCTCTGTTCCCCAAAAGTCACGTTCTAGAGTGTTTATAGCAGCACGAAACATAGAGCCTTAAACCAACCGCTACCCATGAGCCCATTAATAACAGAACGAATAAACACGTTGTGAAATAGTCACATAATAAAAAACCACAGCAATGAAAATAAACCATCTGCAACTACACACAACAATCTGGATGCCTTAGAAACACCAAGTTGAGCGAAAGAAGCAGAAACGACAAGAAGACACCTGCATGATTCCACTGTCATAAAGTATGAATGCATGCAAAACTCATCCACACGGTTAGAAGTCAGGGCGACAGTGCAGGGCAGGGACAGCATGGGAACACCGGAAGGATTCTGGGCTAACCAGGTACTATAATATGTTGAATTTGTTAAAATTAATCAAGCTGTTTAGTTACCATATGTGCACTTTTCTATATGTAAATTATACTTCAATAAAAAGCTTTTATTTTAAGTGTACAATGTCCTAAAAATGGAAAGTGCCTTTTTTTGTTTTTAAACGCGAGGAGCTAAGAACGAAGACCAGGTGCCTGAATTCCCAGAAGGCGTATAAACAGGGCTGATAGAGAAAGGCCGGTTTTAGGGCATCAGAGAAGAATCTATAGCCCCAACTTGTGGCCTCAGTAGTTGGCCCCTTCTCGAAAAGCTGCCTCCCAAGATTCGAGGCCTGGGGAGGGAGACCTGGAAGACAGAAGCTGAGATCCCACAATGACTGCCCCATACGCCGCCCTCCAAGGCAGAACCCCCATTTCCATTAGGGGCATATTTATGTCGTCCAGCAACACTGCAGCGTCACCCCTTCCCCACTCCCAGATCACTTGCTTGTGCTGCAGCGGACCGGGGTTGTGCTAAACCTGCCAGAGCCAATACAGAGACACTTGATAGAATCACTGGTGGGTGGCAAGTAAGGACCTGAGCTGGCTGGATAGAAGCGGGGGGCTCCTGGCTCCCCATCTTTGCCACCCCATGGGGAGAAGCTTGCCCAAGAATGAAGCAGAAAGAGGAAGCAAAAGAGGGAAGCAGAACAGAAAAATGAGAGTCAACCTCTCGAGATCTTGGAACACCTAGATCAAGAGGTGCCTGAAGGTCACGCCCTAAACTTATTATCTAAGCCAGTGTTTTGCTTAGGCCAGCTTGAGTTACATCTGCCATTTTTGTCACTATGAAGTATGTGCCCTTTCACTGCTCACCAGAAGCCTGTGTGCACTCTCAGAGACTAAAATGGGCATAATAAGGGCGCCTGGGTGGCTCAATCGGTTAAGCCTCTGCCTTCAGCTCAGGTCATGATCCAAGGGTCCTGGGATTTGAGTCCCACATTGGGCTCTCTGCTCAGCAGGGAGTCTGCTTCTCCCTCTCTGTCTCCTTCTGCCCCTCCCCCCTGCTCATGCTCGCACACGCACTCTCTCTCTCAAACAAATAAATAATCTTTTAAAAATAAAATAAAATGGGCATAATAATGCACCATGCTAACTGCACCCCTCCCAATGTCGGAACACGCTATACCTTCACAAACCACTTCAATACCCATCAATCCATTTGATATTCACAGAAATGCCAAGAGAGATAGGATGCAGGTATTACTATCACTTTCTTTGCCATCCTAGACTTTTCGAGAGCTGGCAAGGATGTCGGGACCATCTAATTGAGTCCTCTTGCTTTGACAACCCGAAGAATGAGGCACAAAGAAAGAAGGAGCACCTGGCATATGACTATAGTATAATGAAAACTGCAAAGGGCTTTTAAGTTCCTAAAAAGGGCCAAGAGCATCATTATGAAGACTCTGATGTTGTCTGAACCTCAGACTTGAGAATCTATCTGGCTTTCATCCTTACTCATAAAGAAAATCTCATCAGATCCACATCCTGCCCTTATAATAAATAACATCAGGGACCATTCACCAAACACCCGTCAGACAACATAATGCTAAGCCTTCATTCATTCTCTTGTAAGATCCTCTTTTGAGGCAGATTCTGCTACTAGCTCCATTTTGCAGATGTGAAAACTGAGGCTTTGATTAAGCAGCTTGCCCCAAATCAGTCAACTGGCAGAGCTGGGCTTCAAACTAAGGTTGTCCAACAGCAAAGGCACTGGGTAGGGCTGAGGCACCGGAGTGGGTTGTCGGTGCCAAGACTTAATCCCATCTTCTGCACAGTGTTGGAAAGTCTGCCCCTTCTGCTCTGATGTTCACCTCCTTCAGAACTTCTAGAATCCAGCTTAAAAAAATGTATCCCCTGAGCAAGTCCTTGCCAATTAACTGAGATTCTTCTACCCATCATCAGCAGCATCTCCTTATAGCTGATGGGTCCTCCCTTCCGAGTAGCTGTTAACACACTTTGTGGTCGATTATTCTAGCTGGAATATCTGACACAACCACTGGCTAGCTGTTTCCATCCCACACAGCCACCAGAGTTGGCTTTTATGAAACGTAAATCGTATCACACCACTTCATGCCCACTAGGACGGCGATCATCAAAAAGACAGGCAATGGACGAGTTTTGGCGAGGATGTGGAGAAACTGGAGCCCTTGTACATTGCCAATGGGAATACAAAATGGCCAACTGCTTTGAAAAAAGTCTGGCAGGTCCTCGGTTAAATATAGTTACCATATGACCCAGTTACCTAGGTATAAACCCAAGAGAAATGAAAACGTATGGTCACACGAAAACTCATACACAAGTATTCAGAGCAGCATTATTTGTAACAGACGAGGAATAGAAACAACCAAAATGTCCATCACTTGACGAATGGATAAACAAGATGTAGTCTATGCATGCACGTCCAGTGGAATCCTACTCATCCATAAATGAGAATGAAGCATGGGCACCTGCTATAACGTGGATGAACCTCAAAAACAAGATGCTGAGTGAAAGCAGCCAGTCACAAAAGCCACATAGTGTGTGATTCTACTTACACGAAATGTCCAGGGTAGACAAACCCACAGAGGCAAAAAGCACATCCCTGGTTGTTGGGGGTTGACTTTGTATGGGATCCACGTGCTGAAATGGCATCATGGTGATGGCTGCACAACATTGTGAATGTACTCAGAGCGCTGAATTGTGCACTCTAAAATGGTTCAGTAGTGAGTTTTATGGTGTATGAATTTTATGTCAATTAAAAAAAATGTTTTTCACCCTCTCCCAAAGAAAATGATCAGATGGCATAGCTTACCTCCTTTGCCCTACTTTAAAACTCCCCAGCGGCTTCCCATTCACACCAGGAGTCACACCCAAATTCCCTGCCAGCGCCTATAAGGCCCCCCATGGCCCTGGCCCTGTGACCTCTCCCTCTCTTTCTACTCCTCCCCCACCTCCTGGCCTTTGACCTGGCCTGTTCCTCAGTCTGGCATGTTCTTTCCCACAGCTGGCTTCTCATCAGTCAAGTCTCTGTCCAAATGTACACACACACAAGGCCCTCTCTGACCACCCCATCTAAAATACAGCTCCCAGGGGTGCCTGGGCGCCTTCGTTGGTATCCTATTACACATCGACTCCTGATTTTGGCTCAGGTTATGATCTCAGGGTAATGAGACAGAGCCCCAAGTAGGGCTCTGCGCTGGGCGTGGAGCCTGCTTAAGATTCTCTCTCCCTCTCCCTCTGCTCCTCCCCCACCATCGTGTGTGTGTGTGCGTGCGTGCGCGCGTGCACATGCGCGCACACACGCACTCCCTCTCTATCTCTAAAAAAACTAAATAAAAGCTAAAAAAATAAAATAAATACAGCTCCCACCACGCTCCATCCCAATATCCTGCTTTATCTCTTCATAGGCCTAATCACCCTCCAAAAAGATACAGATTTTTTAAAAACTGTTTACTTCCTTGTTGCGTGTCATTCTAAGCACAAGGAGAGGGATCTTGTCTGTCATGTTCACAGCTCTGAACTTGCCCACCATGCAGGAGCTAACTGAGAAACACCTCTGGAAAGAATGGATTTATTGAAGGACTTCCGTAACATCTGAAATGCCACCTGCTACCTGGTCAGGTGTCCAGAGCACTAAGTGATCAGCTACACTCTGCAGGTGCTCAGGGAGTTAATAAGCATTTGCTGGCTAGGGTGGCAAACCCCACCCTAGACCTGTCTAGAACCCTGAGGAAGCAGGAAGAATGATCCCTCCCCTCGAAAGTCTGAAAGTCTTTCAGGGGTCACAAAGCACCCAGTGTTTACCCAGCAACCTACAAACAAACGCAAAGGAGAGATCTAAGGTTGTGTTGCTGATGGAGGCTAGGGTCCAAATCAGCCTCATAAAACTGCGCGCTGGCAAACACCCTTATGTACAGCTTCTTACGGCTTTTTCCAATCTGACCTGTTCTCCAGAATGAGACGGTTGCAGCTCACACCTGCTCCTGCCTCTTCCCACGGGGACTTTCTTTTCAGAGGCAGTTAGAAATCTAAATAGGCGGGTGGTGAAGACCTCCTGCCCCTTGTCCTCCCTACTTCTGGCATCTCTGAGCTGCACACACAGCAAGCAACTTACCCACTAGGAGTTTGACATCTCGGACTGTAAAATCAGGGTCAGGCATCCTGGAAAAAGAGGAGTATAGGCATTTGCTGAGAGGCCAGAAACAAGAGAGTTCAACCCAACCCAACCTTGGGGGCAAGGGAAAGGCCATTTTTCCAAGAGGGTGCCCTTGCTCTCAGTTTGGGAACCCAAAATGAGATAATCCAGAGGAAGAGTGATAGACCAGTCAATGCCCCAAGAGAGGGTCCCTCTCCAACCACTGAGCCCTTTCCTCACCCCAGTAGGCAAACCAATTCCCTCACTCTCCCCAATATGAACTCAGCACTGCCGTAGAAAAGATGGGACATCCACCGTCCACCCCACTTTTCAGGGGAAGACTGAACCGTGGTGTCAAGGGTAAGTCCCAGAGCCGGGCATTCAAACACCCACTCTCTTTTAGGGTGGGCAGCTCTCTCTGTGTCTCTTCCTCTAGCAAATACTCTCCATAAAAGGAGTTGCAGGGATCCTTTAAGTTCAAAGGGAAAAAAAAGACACACATCATTCCAATTCCAGGGATTTGGTAACCCCGGCTCTAATGACTGGGGTGACCTTCGCTATTAATTAACAGTGATGTCAAAGGTTTGATTTCTACCCTAGGAACGAGACTCTTGAGCAAGCCTGGTAGTAGAGGCTGGAGAGGAGGCAAGCTGGGATGATACCAGCAGCCTCCTCTCCACCCCTGCCCAAGGGGCGGAAACCTGTTCTTCCAGCCTTCCTCCCGGATCTCTCCCCCACCCCACCTGGAGCTCTGACAGATCTCTAAGACAATGTAAACCAAACAAGACACAGTGGGGGAGGCAGGTGCTGGGGCAGGCAGAGAAAAAGGAGGCTTGGAGCCTAGCATCCTAGGAAACATGCCCTCCACAGAAAAGAACCAATTTCCCACATAGTGGGAGTCTGAGTAGAAAAATATGTCTCTAGGTGCCCTGCCGTTGGGCTTAGAGACTGGCCAATCCCTTCACAGCTCAGGCCCTGCCTCAGTTTCCTAACTTGGGCAGGGGGCACAATTCTCCTTCAGAAGTCCCTGCACATAACTGGGGTGGGTCAGGGAAAGAAGTCAACACTGTTTTAGTACTCTCTGTCCTCTCTGCCCAAGTTCTCTGAAAAAGACCAATCTTTGGAGAGTTTTTCCCCTCTGTCAGGCCTTGAACAAAGAGATAGTCTCCCCAGATAACGAAGAAAGATCCTTCTCTGTGATGACAGGTGGGAAAAGGGTAGAAGAAATCTACTCCAAACTACCAACTACGTCAGGGAGAGAGACATGGGAAGAAGCAATTCCTTTAGGCAACTTACTTAATCCCCAGTCCATCCTTTTCTCGAAATATCAGGGGAACCCTGAGGGCTTCTCTCTGCACGTATTCATAGTTGAAATCTGTTTGGATATTGGAATTAAAACAGGTTGGTTAAGTCATGAAGGAGCAGATGAGCCACAATCAATCGGTCAGAGGAAAGAACAGGGTTATACCAGATGCAGGCTCCAGCTCTAGGGCAAGAGATCCCTGTCAAATGACAAGGAAATGGAGCAGGCAAAGCCCATGCCAACTATCAGCTCCTCTGTCTACTCAGTCATTCCCTGCATGCCCCACGGGTCAGAACTTGTCAATGAACAGCCCAAGGCCAGGGAGGGTGGGGAGGGAGACTCATGAAAGAGCCCCGCACAGAAAAGGCCCCAGCCATCGCTGAGAAAGAGGGACACAGAAATGCACCCCAAGCTGAGCTCAGAAAGTTAAAGGCAGTGCAAAATTGAAGAATACCACCTGGGAGGATCTGAAGCCCCAGAGAGGAGGCTGGGAGGAGGGTTCTCATTGTAGCTGAGCATCGGGGAAGATCTTATTGTAATATCCTGCATAGTGAAGGGGAGGGGGGGAAAGCTGGTTTCCCTGGAAACTGGGTATTTGGTGCCAAAATTACTAGAGAACTGGGCATAGCTTTGTTGTCTTAATAGTGTAATTCTGCTCCAGCTACTGCCATCCTTGTTTCCACCAGGACGCTCCCCCCAGGTGAAGGCGGTGTGAAGAGGGCACAGTGAGGCCCAAAGCCAATTCACAAGGTAGTGCTGCGTTTCAGCTTTGTCTAGTGTAGACCCCCAAATCCCTTATCAAAAGCCCTGGAGAAGGAAGGAGGCCTTCGTTTTTACGTTTTCCTCGAGTTCCAAAACCAGCGGATCTGACCCAAACTTACCCCTAAATATGGAGTCAAAGGAGGCTGAGATAAACCATCACATCCCCAAATCCTGAGGTGAACCAAAGCAATCCACAAGGCCACAAGGCCACAAGCCCTCCCTGGCCAGTTGGAGGAGAGATAGGAGAGACCACAGGCCTCAGGAGCCCCTGCCCCAGGCAAACAGTTCACCAGGGCAGCTTGGTGGGGGAGGAGGCCAAGGCAACTCTGCTCAGAGCAGAGGAAGAGAACAAAACCAGAGCTGGGGAAAGCCCTGACCTTAGCAGCTCAGATCCCCAGGGGCTCACAGTGAATGGGGATTCCTAAGGATTTAAAGGCAGAGAAGTTTAAGAAGCTTCTATTTTGAATCCAGGCTAAGGGCTCCTTCTGTTTCTCAGCTCCTCCCTCGAAGTTTTGGGGCCAGATCTGAATTAACTACCAAATCGCTAGGGCCCTCTCCTTTGAAAAGAGCCTGGACAGAAGATTTAAGGGCTCTCCCTAGCTGGAATCTACCCCCTACACACCCACACCCAAAGCCCGCCCCCCACCCCCACTCTCCTCAGCTTCAACTTCCTCAAATGAGCTTGAGAAAACACTCAGATCTTGGGCTGAGAATTCCTCACAAATGACTAGGAAGAGTTTGCATGTTGTTTCCTCATAGGATCCACCAAACTCAGTAAATGGGAAAGAAACAAAAGGAATTGAAATCCCATTTGTGCTAAGGAAATTTAATTGTAGTTGAGACTAGCGCCCCAGACGGTCTACCTCAGGGTGCAAAGACCTGGCAGGTTGAAAGAAATGTCTTCTTCCCTCCCCCAACAACTACCCCCTACCACTGAAGCCCAGCACCCCAGGAAGCAGTGGGCACAAAAAAGAAACTTCAAAAATGCAAAGCCAGGACTGTCTCTTCTGGGGGCTAACCTAAAGCCTCAGCCACTCAACCAGAACCTGAAGGGGAAGGCACTGCCCCTGTCATCAGCTCACTGAGGGATGGAAGGTTTTCCAAGGGGCGGGGGGGGGGAGTCAACAAAATGAAAACGGTGTATTATAACGGAAACTTGAATATCTAAGAGGGAAAAAAAACAACTTAGAAGCCCCAGAGAGCCCAGGGAAGTACCTAGGTAGGCAGGGGCATCTCCAAAACCCCAACTCCACAGGCAGAACCACAGGTCACACGGGGCATCTGGAGGTCTCATACCCAAGCCAGAGCATCACCCCAACGTTGGCAGGACACCACCAGCCACCTTCCTAATATTAGGGTCAGGGAGAAACTCAGGCCCTGAAGGTCTCAGGCTGGGGTGACACCCCAAAACCCCAGAGGCTTCCCCAACTTCTCTAAACTGGCAGGGCCTACCAGGGACAGAGCTCTCAAGCTCTCAGGCTGAGAAGAAACTTTGTTCCCCAGAGGGGTACCCCACATTTTCACTTCAAACTACAGGGGTCAGGGATCTCAGCCTGAAGCCTGAGGGAGTAAAACTCTCTCACCCCCAGTCCCGACTTCAGACTGTCAAGACTGAAGGGCCAGAGGCCTCAGGCATAAGTGGGAGCTCCAACCAACAGTGCTGAACTCATCCAGGCCCTGCTCAAATCTGGCAGAGACCAGAAGGTTGCAGGGTTCCGCAGACCCCAGGGGCTGAGGAAGCATCATTCAGGGACCCGAGCATCCCCTGCACCAGCTCCTAACTGGCAGGGCCCGAAATGGACGGGGTTTGGGAAGCTTCAGGCCTAGTGGGGTCCTCATCCCAATGCCCCAGGGGCACCCCAGCCCCTCTCCCAGTCAGGCAGCCGCACCTCATTCAGCACAAGGAGCTGGGCTGGCTCTGGGAGGGGTAGAAAGCCGCGGACCCGCCCTCCCTCCGTCCACCCGTCAGTCCCCAGGTCCCTTGGACCGCCGGTCCCCTGGCTCTGCCCACCCTGGGGCCGGCTGTGGGCGCGGGCCGGGTCTAGGCCCACGCCCGGCCCCCGTTCCCGCCTGCCCTCCTCCTTCGCCACCCCACCCCACCCCCCCAGTGCTCGGCCTCGTTTCGTCACCGGATCCCCTGGAATGGGGGACGCGGGCGCGAAATACGAACCCAGCCACCGGCAGCTCCCTCCCCACGTGCGCTCGGGCCGCGGCGCGGAGGGCGGCCCGAGGAGGGGGCGTCTCACCTTTGCCCTCCATGGCGTGCACGAAGTCCCCCTGGTACAGCTGACTGCGCAGCTTCTCCTCCAGGCTGAAGCCGCGGACGCTGACGATCTCCTCCACGTCCGACAAGTCCTCGTTCTCGTCGTACCTCTGGCGGTCAATCGGACGCTGCGGGGACCCAAACCAGAGAGCCCGAGGCATTACTGGGGGAACTGGGGGGTCGCCTCTTACCCTAGGCCCAGCTCAAGCAGGTGCAGGAGTTGCGCGCCCCCCCCCACCCGCACCCCACCACTGCGACCCGAGCAACTTTGCGCAAATGCCAAAGATGCTGAAAACCAGGATAACGAGAGGGGCCCGCACCCCCGGGCTCCGGCTGTGCCCTACACAGGACACTCCCCTCCTGCATCTTTGGAGGCCGTGGAAAGGACATCTGGGGGGCTCTCCCTTGCCCCCCACCCCCGATCGGTGTTGAGTTTTGCCCACTCGGCCAGGAGCCTGGTTATGTAACCCGCGAAGGGGGCTCCGCGCACGGGCTGGCGGGGCATTTGTAGGCCCCGGGAGGAGCCACCGCAGCGCCCGGCTCGGCGCTAACAGCAGCCCGGGCGGCCGCCGCGGCAGAGCCGGAAAGCCGGAACCGGGGGCCGGCGGCATTTCTAAGGCTGGAGCCGCCCCCGAGCTACTCGGGAAGCTGGAAAGCTGAAATGGAAGGGCTGAGACCCCAGCCGCCCCCGCCGACCGCCCGCCAGTGCTAGAAGAAGGGGTGGAGGGGGAGGTCGGGGCTTGGGAAGGGGAGAGGCAGACGGCCCGCCACAAAGCTCCCATCGGAGACCCCAAAACGCACCAGCAGCTGCCTCATCTCCCCACAAGCGCGCGCGCACACTCACTTCCTAAGGAGACTCCCCCACCACTCCCCGCATCCCCTGCCTCCTCCCTCAACCGCCCAGCGCCGGGCCCTGCAGCCCCCCAGATTCCGGGCGAACCCCGAGCCCGCTCAGCCTCTCTCCACGCCTTTCCCCGCTACCACCTCCCCACTTAAGTGTCTGAGACTCTGCGCCTCACAAGGGACTGGAGGAGTAAGCTGCTTGCTTCCTTTTGCATGCAATTTATTATATTTTTTCCGGTCCTCTTGCAAAATACAGAAAAGGAAAGAAAAGGCAGCAAGAAACAACAACAACAAAAAAAAATAGATCTATCATTACCAGATACAGATTTGGAAAAAAAAAAAAAAGCTACACACCAATCTTCTTCCAGAGTCTTTCTCTGCCTCCATTTTTTTAGGAGAGTTCACCAATTAATTGTCAACACTCCTGCCCCCTGCATTTTGGCGGAGGGGGGAAGGAGGGAAGACCAAAGAAAACAAACCAAAAAATAAATAAATAAAGCAAGCCACAGCCGAGATCTACAAAGTTTTGCACCAACACTTAAGCAGATCCGTTTGCAAAGTCCTAGGAAACCATTTTCAGCAGTTGTGGGGGGGGAGGCGTCGACGTCATAATCCCCGGAACGTAAACATTGTTGCCGATCGCGCTCTGAGCCCGCGGCCGGGCTAGTGGAGGGGGCACTCGGCCCGGGATGGGGGGGGCGGGGGCGGCTGCCCGAGGAGGTGTGGGGCGGGGAGGGCGCCCGGGAGGCACCGGGCGCCGTTAGCGCCCTGGCATCGCTGTTTTGTTGTTGGGTCACGAGTGCGCCTTGCACGCAGGCGCCGCCGCCGCCCGGGAGTTGTGTGCAGAGCTGACTTTTGGAGGGCTGAGTTGCAGGCGGCGGGCGCATCCCGGAGATGGCGGGGCAGGGAGGGAGGGAAGGAGGAGGGGGTGGGGAGGGAGGTGCAGATTTGCACGGCTGGTCTCAGCGGGAGGCGCGGAAATGCAAGCCGAGCTTGCTGGCTAGAAAGCCCCCGAGGCCTGGCACCCCCAAAAAAGACCCCCCACCTCAATCCCTGCCCCCATTGCCCGCGGCCCCCACGGGCCACCCCTCTTCCTCTTCCTTCATCCACCCCACCCCATTACCTACGTGGCCGACCCAAATTCAAAGAGCTTTATATATATAATTGTTTTTTTCTTTTCTGCTGCATGTCTTGCTTGGGGTGGGGGGCGATCCTCTCCAGACCCCCATATGAGGACCTGCCATATGGAGGAGGCATTTGGGGGCTCAGGAAGAAATTAGCGCAGCTCCATACCTGTACGGACTGCATAACTTTTAAACTCCCGGACTCAAAGATATGGACCCACACACACGCAGGTACAGGAAATACAGCCAGACCAGAGCCTTTTCAGACCCGAGCTGACCGGAAGACGTTGCCTTTCATTCATTCATCCTGCCCGCGTCTGTGGAGTCCTTTAGTAGGCGACGAGCCCTGGAACAGAAGTTGGACAGTTTTTAAAGGTCTCTGCGCTCGCCAAGAGAAGGAAATAGATGCTCAGGAGTGAAATACCGAGAGAATCGGATCTGGCGCCTCCTAACGCAGCGGGCAAGCAGGCGAAGGGTAAGCCCTTATTGGCCGTTTATAGGAGAAAAGTCGGTGGAAAGGTGCAAGACGCTCAGGGATGGGGCGCGGGGAACTTTGGGCGCCCCTTGATGAATCCTGTAGGAATTCTTGGCAGAGGTACTGGCTCTCTCTTGCTTTCCCTCAGTATAACTGGTTGGCTATGACCACCCCCAGAAGTGGAATCCTAAAGGTGCCTTCCTGTAATTCCATTATGAACAACAGTCAGGTCGACTTGGATTATGGGCAAGGCTGGCCCTAAACATTCCTCCAGTCCAACTGGGCCTGCTCTTTGGGGTAACAATCGGGAGGAATTGACAACAGAACGCAGCTCCAATAAAGAACATGGATGCTCATAGCAGACTTTGCCAAAAAAAAAAAAAACTTAAATGTATTTTTATTTCTGCCATTAAGCCTGTAGGATAGTTGGAGCAGGTCATTTTGCAGATAGATGAACTGAGGCTCACAGACAGGATCAGTCGGGGTGATTCCTGTGCGCCAAGCCAATATCCTCCCTAGTCAACACTCAGATGTGTGGAGAGGAAGTGGCTTCCCCATCAGAGATCGGATATGAACCATCAGCTCTGTATTGGTCACCCTAAGAGACAGCTTCCCCCTCACTCACCTGAAAGTTTCCTGTCCTGTCTTTCTATATTCTTTTCCACCCACCCCTAAAAACTGTTCTTTGAAGTTTGTTTTAATCCCAGTTCACTAGACGGCAAATATCAAAATTTATTTCCAAACTGAAATAGCCCAGGTTAGCTTAGTGGGAATGAGAAGGGTTTTGCCCTCAGCCTGTCAAGAACCAGGGACCATCTTATTTGCTTCTCTCTCACAGAAGACCCCTCGAAGAATAATAGTCTTGTTATTCTTCATGTTACAAATGAAGAAACTGAGTCTCAGAAAGGCAAAGCCACTCACCCAAGGCCACAAGCTTGTAAGTGTAGTTACCAGGGCTCAAACTGGAGCCTGGTTCTGCCATCACAGCCTTTTTGGATACTGACCACCCTCCTTGTTCCCACATAATGAAATGAACATGTTCAAAGGAGGGCGTCTGGGCTGGAGGGTCATGAAAAGGAAGTAAAGTGCAATAAGGCAAAACCAAAATAGACTGCTTGATCCTAATTCTCCTTTCCTCCCAGGGACCCTTCTCTCTCCATGCGGCCTCAGAGGGGTCCCCAAAGCCTGGTGTCAGGAAAAGATCCGATGGCAAGCACCTCAGTGCAAAAACAGTTAAGTCCATATATCACCCCAATGGGGAGTTCCTGGCCTGTCAGAGTGGGAAGGGGTTGAGTCGTCACCTAATTTAATCCCTTCCCTTTGCAAACCGTGAGGAAACTACAGACCAAAGAGAAGAATGGGCCAACCGGGGGGCTTGTTCCCTCGGACTCCCCCAGAATGCCTACCCTACCGCCTGGTCCTAAGTGGTCACTCAGTAAATGTTGGGCCCTTGATGGATCACCTTCCCCAGAGATATTTGCATTTTCCCTTTATCAGTAATTGGCAGATGAAAGGCTTTGTCCTCCTGTTGAAAGAATTCCAGGCATTTGCTCAAAGTGGGGGAGGAGGTTATTTTGGGCCAAAGGGGGAAGGGCCAAGACCCTTGAGCTCCTAGTGCTGGCTAATTGTCCCAGAGGCGTGGGCAGTAGGTGAGAGAGGGGAGGGAAGATTAAGGTGCTTCTCCAAGAGAGGTACTTTTTCTTGTAGGGAAAAAAAAAAGACCAGGCCGATTGTATTTGAAACTTAGTAAAAATGACTTCCTGGACCCTGCTTCTCATTCTTACAAAAGACCCAGTCAAATCCTGGCCGGGTTGGCCCCATTCATTCATTTCTTCATTCATCAAAGGTTGATTGAGCAGCTCTGTGCTTTAAGACAGCAGGGATATCGAAGAACCGGCTCTGATTGTAGACATACTCCAGCCTGGACAGGGAGTGGACAGACAGCTCCCAAGGGAGTTAGGAATCCCCAAGATTTTAGAAACTGAAGCCATTCTCATACTCATACATAATTTTAAGAGCTCCTGATTTTTGAGTGCTTACCCGGTCTTTGAGCAAAGCCACTCAGGTTTGTTATTTCCCTTCTTCCCCAAAGCCCCAATGAGGGAGGGTCTATAATTCCCCACCTCTATGGCTGAGGCTCAAAGAGAGGTCAAGTTACTTGCCCAGATGTTACAGCTGTAGAATAACAGAGACAGGATCTGCACCCAGGGTTTGTAGGAATCCAGAGCTCACGGGCTTTACCGCTCATTATGCCTCCCTGCCCGGCTCTCCCCAGGACACGGTCATGGAAATATTCTGTGTCTGCGCTGTCCAACAGCAGCCCCTAGCCACATGTGGCTACTGAGCACTTGAAATGTGGGTAGTGAGATTAAGGAAATTAATGTTAAATTTTATTTAATTTTAATTAAAATTTAAATAGCTGTATGTAGCTAGTGTCTATGTTATTGGACAGTGCAACCTTACAGTGTTTTCCGGAATTTGTCTTAACTCACCTACCAGACTAGATATATCTCAGAGTCTGATTTGGCACTGTGTCTCTATAATCAGCCTTCTGGAAATATCTGGGGAATGAACGAAGGGACCCTGAGAAAATCAAGTATTGGAATGATGAGTGGGGGAAGGGGACAGGGATGTCTGCAAAGGTTTCCTCGAAGGGGCCGTCTGGTACAATGTGAATGTTTGGAGTGTTATTCCTCAGAACCACTCACTCTGAGTGCCTGCCAAAAGCATAACACTGTGGGCACCTGGGGATACCAGTTAGATATGATTGTCCCACCTGCCCAGATCTCAAGGACAGATCATTGGTGGTGGGGCAGGAAGCCTTAGAAATGGGTAACCACTTCCTGATATATATCCTGCTGATAGACACAAAAACAAAGATGCAATCCATTCTAGCCCTATTTGCAACAGAAACAGACTGAAAATGATCCAAAAGTTGGGGAACTGATCAAATAATTCTTGTACTATTTATCTGTCCATTGAAATGTTATCAAATCATCAAGAAGAATAAGGTAGTTCTGTATATACTGATGCAGGATGATTTCATGATATCCTTAAATTAACACAAAACAGGGGCACCTGGGTGGCTCAGTGGGTTAAGCATCTGCCTTTGGTTCCAGTCATGATCTCGGGGTCCTGGGATTGAGCCCCGCATTGGGCTCCCTGTTCAGCAGGAGTCTGCTTCTCCCTCTGCGCCTCCTCCCGTTCATGCTTGCTTGCTCTCTCTCTCTCCCAAATAAATAAAATCTAAAAAAAGAAAAAAAGATTAACACAAAACAGAACAAGGTGTAGAATACTTATACTAAATTGTGCTGACCACTTACATCAACCAAAGGGGACAAATTTATATCTACATTTATTCTTTTGTATGTACAGGATTTTCTTTGGAAAGATATAGAATCAAAAAATGGGGAAAAGAACCGGGAAAAGAGAAGCAAATGTATTCTTTGGTACAGGGTGACATTTTTAACACACGTATGCATTAGAGTTGCCTGACTTGGAACCTTACAGACTTAATTTCATTTTCTAAGGGGTAGCACCTTTTGAATTTTGTACTATGTACCTGTATTACCGTACTCAAACAGGAATTTCATTTTATTCATCCTTTTTAAGACAATAAAGTTCAAAATCACACAGCTCTAAACCAACTAAATATTGTTTAGATATATACATAAGCAGTAAGGCATAAATAAAAGCAAAAGAGTGATTAACACAAAGTGCAGAAGAGACTCCGCTCTGGGGCAGGGAATGTGAACAGAGAAAGGTGCTGGTGATTTTCTGTCTCTTAATCTAGATGGTGGGCACCTGAGTGTAATTCTTTGTACTTTAAAATTTTACAAATTCTATTGTACTTATGAAATATTCCACAACTTAAAACTTGTTTTTAAATTGCTTCAGGTCTCGGGGCTCCTGGCTGGCTCCGTCGGGCATGTGACTCTTGATCTGTGGGTTATTCGAGGCCCACACTGGTGTAGAGATGACTTAAAAATAAAATCTTTTTTTTTTTAAAGATTTTATTTATTTATTTGACAGAGAGAGACACAGCGAGAGAGGGCACACAAGCAGGGGGAGTTGGAGAGGGAGAAGCAGGCTTCCCTGTGGAGCAGGGAGCCCGATGTGAGGCTCGATCCCAGGACACTGGGATCACGACCTGAGCCGAAGGCAGACACTTAATGACTGAGCCACCCAGGCGCCCCTTAAAAATAAAATCTTAAAAAAAAAATTGCTTTAAGTCTTTCTCCCCCATCCCTGCCCACCCACCGAGTTTCTCTCCTTCACACTCCCATCTCCAGAAAACTTGTTAGCATGTCTCTTGGGTATCTATCAGAAATAGTTTATGCATTTACACACATCTATATATTTTCTATTATGATTATGTCATACGAATATACCCACTGTCCTTTCCTTTCCTTTTTCACTTAACATGATCTTGGAGATTTTTCCATATACTATCTGTAGAACTGCATCATTCTAAAATATTAGGTAAGGATGAGATAAATCTGAATGTCATGATACAGAAAAAGTTCAAGATTGGTTAAGAAACAAAAAAGTCTGAATAACATATATGTTGTGATCCCATTTAAGTTAAAAGAGAAGACGAAGAAGATCACTTCTGAGGAGGGAGAAAATTTTGAGGGGGTTATAT